CCAGGGCTGGGTCTCTGGGTGCGGGTCGGGGTTGTGAGCGTCCTGTTGCTACGCTCCCTGAGCTTCGGCTTGCCTTCTTGCCAACGGGATGGTACGTGGGGAAGGTCGGCCTCGCCAAACTCGGCCGCTAGCGCTCAGTTCAGTGCGTGTTCCTCTTTGACCCCCCCCCAAGTATATCCTTGAGGTGACCCAACCCCTCTGTACGGTCGCCAGATAGTGTGTGCCGTGGTCGTCCCGGCCAGTAAGTGCTTTGTCCAATAAATTGAGCCCAACTCCCTCCCTCCACTCCCGAAGTAATCACATTCAAAATGCCAGGTTCCCCGAGTCTCTGCTGTAGTCCCAGCTAGAAATGGGACTTCTAGCCCCAGGTAGCACCTCAGGACAGGGCACCCTCCTCGACGACACGCCTGAGGCACTTCACAGTGATGGTGAAAATACATTTTGAAATTTACACCCAAACTCCCTGAGCAATTTAGCAAAACCTTGTTCCCTCCAAAATTTTAAAGCTGAGCATGGTGGCGGATGCATGTAACGCCATTTGGGAGGCTGAGGCCAAAGGATCTCTGACTTTGAGGCCAGCCTACAGTACATAGCAAAAGCGTGTCTCAGAAGAACCAGGTATGGTGTTGCACGTCTGCAATCCCAACACTTGGGAGGCTGAGGCAGGACGATCACCACAAGTTCAAGGGCAGCCTGGACAACGTAGCAACCCCCTATCTCAAAAAATAAAACATTAAAGGCTAGTAGAGGGTCCCTGGTTTGGATCTCCAGTACCACACACACACACACACACACACACCACCCTGTGGTCTGTCCCACACCATGTAGACATCTCCTGGTTAGGTAGGAGATTACCCCACTATTATAGGAAGGGGACACTTTAAGTCCTAAAGAACCAGGGTAAAGCAAGAGGATCACTGCAAGATGCAGGTGAATGTGTGGTACATAGTGAAACCCTGACTGTAGTCCTAGTGAAGTATGGTGGCACAGGCCTATAACCCTAGTGCTTTGGAGTCTGAATCAGAACTCAGAATTTGAAGGGCCGGGGATTTAGCTCAGTGGTTCTGCCATCTGCCTTGCAAGTGCAAGGACCTGAGTTCAATTCCCGGTACCAAAAAATAAAAATAAAAAAAAATAAAAGGGGCCTTCAGAATTTGAGCTCAGCCTAAATGAAAAAGGGTTGAGTACGTAGATCAGTGCAAAGGCCCTGGGGTCACATCCCAGTACTTCCCCCCCCAAGAATTCATAGATTTGGGATACATTAAAAGAGCATTGGGAGTATTCCTTGGTTTTTTCCCAGAAAGAATTTATCACTTCTATAAGATAGGAAGGGAGATGGTGAGAGCTTTGTTTATAGCTGAACCAGCAGTGGTAATTCATGACTCTCCCATTGGGTGGCTGATACCACTGGTGTAGAGGTAGGGCGGTCACACATGGGACAGTCATGCATGTTCTCCTGCCTGGCAGCAAGACAGGAATTACAGCCCTGTTGTGAATGTGTTAAGAGCACCAGTGCTGTTTGCTGCAGGCCACCATGGCATCGGATGAAGGCAAGCTTTTTGTTGGAGGGCTGAGTTTCGATACCAACGAGCAGTCTCTGGAGCAGGTCTTCTCCAAATATGGCCAGATCTCTGAAGGTGAGGTGGGCGGGCTGCTGGCTGATGGGGCTGCCTGTGGGGATAGCAGGCCCTGACTGTAGGCCTGCCTCTCCCTCCACAGTGGTAGTGGTGAAAGACAGGGAGACACAGCGATCTCGGGGGTTTGGGTTCGTCACCTTCGAAAACATTGATGATGCCAAGGACGCCATGATGGCTATGAATGGGAAGGTGAGATCCTGCTGTGGGGATGCTGAGGGTGAGGCCTGCCTCCCGCGGACAGGGAGGTGTAGAGGCTGACCCAGGCAACATCTCATCCCAGTCAGTGGACGGGCGACAGATACGTGTTGACCAGGCCGGCAAGTCTTCCGACAACCGATCCCGTGGGTACCGAGGTGGTTCTGCCGGAGGCCGGGGCTTCTTCCGAGGGAGCCGAGGCCGGGGCCGTGGGTTCTCCAGAGGTGAGTGCCTGTGTCTTGGGGCATGGCGGTGCTGCTGGCAGGGCTGGCACTCACACCTCTGTCCCCTCTGTCCTCTACAGGGGGAGGGGACCGTGGCTATGGGGGTGGCCGCTTTGAGTCCCGCAGCGGAGGCTATGGCGGTTCCAGAGACTATTACAGCAGGTGAGGGAGCAGAGTCTGCTGGGCTGAAGGAGGCTTGGCTTCTGCGCAGAGTCCAGGCCAGGCTCCTAGCTGGGGTGGCAAAAGCTGAGGAGGCAAGTGGGTTCTCTTTCTGGTGCAGGGGACTCAGCTCAAGTGCTTTGAGTGTGCCAGAGAAGCACTGAGCTTCATCTACATCCAGCCCTAAGGTGGCAGGGTTTTTTGTTTTGGGTTTTTTTTGTTTGTTTTTGTGGTGGTGGTGGTGTACTGTACTGGGGATGGAACCCAGGGCCTTTATACTGCACAAAGCTACATTCGTGGGCCTTTTCATGTTTTATTTTGAGACAGGGTCTTCTTGCTAATCCCCTAAGTTGTCCAGGCTGGGCTTGAATTCTTTTCTGGTTTCTTGAGATGGGGAGCTTCTAAGACTAGTTCATGCTGGCTTGAACTTGGCAGTGATCCTCCTGCCTCAGCCTCCCAGAGTGCTGGGATGACAGGCACGTGGCCCTATGCTCGGCCTGCTGGTAGTTTCCCCATTCTCTATGAGTTAGTCCTGTCACTGTTCCTGTCCTGAGGAGCGGGTGTGACTGGAGCACAGCTCATCAGATACCCTCCAACACCCACATCTGTGCCCTTCTGCAGCCGGAGTCAGGGTGGCAGCTACGGTGACCGGAGCTCAGGAGGGTCCTACAGAGACAGCTACGACAGCTACGGTAAGTGCTGCTCCGAGGGGAGCTCAGCGAACCCTTGCGCCCTCCCTCCGAGAGCGGCCTAGGCTGGATGCTCAGACCTTGTCCACTGTGCTTGCCCACAAGAAACAAGTCTGTCCTCTCAGAGCCATTCTGCCACAGATCAGAGCCGAGTCAGAGTGACGAAGTCAGGGCCTCGAGGGCTGTGCAGGCCACTGCAGTTGCCTGCCTGCGCCGAGGGGGGGGGTGGCTCCGACTGGATGCTGCATCCTGTTGCGTGCTTCAGCGCCTTTACACTCTGCCTGCTTCTTGTCCTCAGCTACACACAACGAATAACAATCCTTCCTGCTCAAGACCGTCCTTCCATGGCTGTATATTTAAAGATTTTGGGAGCTGCGCTGAATCGTTGATGTGTAGTGAACACACCTCCTTGTATTCCCACTTTTGTAGTCATTTCTGTTCTGATCTTGTCAACCCTGCCTGACTGCCTCTGACCCCCCTCGAGATGGCCTCAATAACTAGACTTTGCTTTTTAAGGAGGCGCTGTCTGTTTTTAAGGGTTTTGAAACCGTTTTTGAAAAGTACTTCAGAGTTTACTTTTTTTTTTTTAACCATGAACCGTAGCTTTTTTAAAAAACAATTATTGGGGGTTGTGTGTTTTTTGTTTTTTTGGTTTTTTTTCCTTTTGTGGTGCTGGGGATCAAACCCAGGGCCTTACACACGTTAGCCCGCCACTCTACCCCTGAGCTGTACCCCAGCCCTGTTGTGTGGTTTTTTTGGTTTTGGTTGTATTTTCATTGTTTCTTTTTTGGGGGTCACCCATGAAGTTGGGTGTCTCGATTCATTTCGCTAAGATTGAATGGACTCTGAATTCGATCTGCCAAAGCTAAGCAAGCTGTGGCTTTTTCGGACTCCGCGTGCTGTTTGAGGGTAGCCTGGTAGGACACCGGCCGGGGCGCGGAGAGGCGGCCCCGTGCCAGTGCCCGCCGTGCAGTGCACACCTGTGGGAGCTGTGCAGACGCCCCGAGGTTTTTGAATTTATTTATATTGTCCTTTTTTACTGGAAGACGTATGCATACTCCATCGATGTTGTATTTGCAGTGGCTAAGGAACTCTTGTACTCCGTTTTCTTTGGCTTTACGAAGCCGATTAAAAGACGTGTGAAACGAACCTTGCTCTGACAATTTCCCTTCGTTGCACAACACACTCCGTGCCTCGGGCTTTCCAGGCAGACCTGAGCACGGAGGCCTGCAGGGCGCTAGAGGAGGAGGAAGCCAGGCAGGCGCAGGGCTGGGTCAGGCCTGTGAGCTGCTCACGGCCCCTCCTGTTGGGGGAGGCGGCTGGGGAACGGGCGCGGGCAGCCCCGCGAGGCCTTCGCAGC